GGAATTTTTCCCACAGCTCCAATCAGCCCAGAGAAATTGGATCCTTGGAGCACTGGAAGATGTCACCTCAGGAGTGGCTTTGGTGCATCCCACCCTTGGAGCATCCCACCCTTCCCGGGAACACGCTGAGCTCTGCCCGCTCTTCTCACTCCAAGGGAAAATCCACCCCCAGGGAGAACTGAGGCCAAGCCTGAGTTATTTTCGGGATGCACTGCCCAGGGCACACATTCCAGGCGGGAATGCCGCGGGAAGAGGGGGCTCTCACCTGCGGGGGCCGCCTTGGGCAGCTCGGTGGGGGTGGTTTTGCTGGTCCCGGGGCTCAGCAGCTTCACGTAGTTGGCGGGGAACCAACCGATCTGGCGCTTCTTGCCTCGGGCCTGGGGAGAGAACGGGGCTGTCAGGAGGGTTCACACTTCGGGGAGGAGGGTTCAGAGCCTGGGCAAGGGGGGGACCCAACTCTTGAGCTGTTGGCACTCACAGCAGCTTTGTTTTGTAAGGAAAAATCTGCATTTTGTAAGGAAAAACCAGCCGGTTTTGGCAGTAGTTGAACATTACAACACTTCCATTAGCATTTAAATGCTTAAAGAACTGAGTTTAAATCGATACCAGACTGTGACAGTTCAAGCAGAGATTAAGGATCCAAATCACCTCTTTTTCTTTTAAAGAAACGGCCTCTGAGCTTTTCAACACCTTGTGCCACCAGAGCGGGACAGAAACCTCCCCCTGGCACCTCCCCGACTGCCTTGGCCATTGAAACCAAATAAATTAAAAAAATCCTGGCTGCAAGAAAGGTTATTCCACAACTCTGAACCCCATCTCAGCCTCTAAATCCGTGTTAAGAATTTATTTGAACTCTTTATTCCCTGTTTGAGCCCTTAGAACAAAGTTGGCGTTTTGGGCAGGAAGAATTTTGCCTTTAAAAAGGAATTAATGTTAAATTTGAGGGAAAAAAAGGTCATCTAACAGATTTACTATTCTTTAACTAGTTTTTCCCCTCTTTAAATCTTTACTAAAAAAGAAAGCACTTGATCTAAAGAGCATCTAGAGCATTAATTTTAAGCTATTTTTGGATGCTGCATTAAACCAGCTTAAAACATTGGCCTTATTTTCCCTCCACTCTGACCCCCAAGTGTGGAAGAGGAGAATAAATAGAATATTTATAGAATAGTCAGGGGACTGATAATGAAATAAAAAACAATTGTATCCCATTAAAGTATCTAAAGTCACACTGAACATTTACACAACCAAAAATGAATTGCTTTAGAACCTCCCAGCAGCTGCTCAGGGAGAATTGTGGCAGACCTTGCCCCGTGAGGCTTCTTTGCTGCCTTAAAATCCATTTAATGGAGACTTTTCAAAGGTAAAAGTTACCAGCAGCATAAAGGTCAGTGAGAACAAATCCCTAAGGAATCCTGGAAGGTGATTTCTCCACAAGAGATGAAAAAATATCCCCAGAAAAGGCAAAAAGGGCAGGTGGTAACAGGGGAAAATAATTAAATTCCTTTTTGAGCCTCTGCACTGCAGAATAAACCAATGACATTTTTTCCCCTGATATTCCCTGTTAAAAAGCCCAAACCAAACCCCCTCATTTAGTGGGATCAAACTGTCAAGTTCTACTCTTAAAAAAACTCGGGGGGGGATTCAAAAGCAGCCAAAACAAGCCCTAAAATCCCCCTTTCTGAGGGAACTCCAGGAAAACACCCCGATGGATCCCCTGCTGTTCTCCCCCCCAGGTTATTCCCAGATCAGGGATGGCCACGGGGGCATATTTCTGTAAATGTATTTTCTCTTTAAATGCTGAATTGCAGAACATTCTCAAAATGGTTTCTCATTGACAACGTTCAGCATTTTGAACAACTAAAAAAAATAATCACGATTTTTTTTTAACGTGGAATTTTATTACAATTAAAAAAGGCACTAACTTGGAGCTCTCCTTCCCACCAACCACCTGGATTCTTCTTCCTGATGAGGATGAGCTGCCCAGGAGCCAGAGTGAGCTGTTCTGGGCCCGTGGCTGTGTAAGAGGCAATAACTTGGGCAATTTCTGGGGGAGCACAAGGGGAAGAAAAGGTTAATTTGGAAAAACCTGAACACATTCTATCCAACACTGACTGTGCTGCAATCACTGTGGCCTTTCTTTCCAGAAAATCGTGATGTCTTTGTGTATTTCCAGGAGTACACGTGGTAATTATAAAATAAATGAGAAGTTCAGGGCACTGCAGGAGAAAATAAATAATAAACCAAAAGAGATGCAACAGGTCTATGGGTAGGAGATAAAAATATTTGAAATAGAGAATAACAATAACAAAAATAATAACAACCACAGCTACACAGCTCTTAAAATCCAGTTTCCTAATACTGTTTTCCAGCAAATACAACTCCCTGAAATTCCATTTATTCAAGTCCAACCTTTGGACTGAGCTCCCTAAAAAGAGGAGCCACGTTGGTGACAGTCCAATGGAGTTGCACTGAGAGGTGCAAATGAACTGATTTTTCAGCCCCAGACCCCAAATGAACGTTTTCAAAGAGGATTTCTTTGGGAATCTTCATCCCATGGCCGCTGGCACAGAGCAGGTGCTTTGTGGGACCCCCTTCCAGCCCGCAGGGACCCGGAGCCCTGAGCTCACCAACCCCTCTGCAAAGCTCCCCCAGCACAGCCTGGGCTCTGGGCTGGTTCACAGGGCTGGGGAAAGACAGAATTATTGTGGTCCCACAAAGGGAACCCAGTTTTGGAGCCAGTTTGAAGGGACAGGAGGTTTTGGGCAGCTGGGTTTGGATGTCCCACCCACAGCTTGTAACTGAGTTCAGCCCTGGCCCCAAACCATGAGAAGGGTGAGGGAGGACTGTGGTTAATCCACAAAAAGGGGGCTTAATCCACAAAAAGGGGGGCTTAATCCACAAAAAGGGGGGCTTAATCCAAAAAAGGGGTGCTTAATCCACAAAAAGGGTGCTTAATCCATAAGAAGGGTGCTTAATCCACAAAGAGGGGTGCTTTTCCTGCTGAAAAGCCCATTTCAGGGTGCCAGGGCACAGCAGGTCATCCCTCAGGTGTTCCCTGCAGGGGAAGCAAGAGCAGCAGGGGCAGCACAGCCAGGTCTGGCTGGAGGGAAGGAACAAAGGGAGCTGAGGCCTGACAGGAAAATAAACAACTGCTGAATTGAAATGGAGAAGCAAAGGATGACTGGGAAAATCAGAAGTGGTCAGAGGAACATCTGAGCTGCACAGGGAGGGGGCAGGAGCAGAGGGCTGAGCGATCCCAGCTCACCGGGATGTGGGGCAGGAGACACGACTCTCCTGCTGGAAGTCTGCAGGCTCCTGCATCTGCAGGAATTCCATTGAATTAATGGAATTCCCACAGAATTCCATTAATCCCTCCATCCTAAAGCCACTCAGGAGGCAGAATGAACACCAGCAAGCAAATCAGTGGTGGGAGTTTCTCAAAATCAGGAAAACCTCTCTTGCTGCCACAACAGTTCCCATGTTCAGATCACGATGGAAGGGCAAAAAATCTGACACTCCTTATCTCTCTCTCAGAACAGGAAATTTCTCGTTTTTACCTACAAAATGTGGTTTACAAGGTATGAGCCACCCCCTGCCACCAACCAGCAGCTTAGAGGGGTTTTACTCGTTCATGTTAAATGAGTTACAATACAAAGCACAGGTGTAACATTCAGCTCTTGCACATCACAGGGAGGCAGAAATTCAGAGAAAAGTGTCCAGAAAAAGAAGTTTAAAAAAACCCCAATGGCTTCTCTTCCATGAAGAACTTTTTCATTTTGTTTGTTTAAGTATTGAATTACCAAGAAGAGACTTCACAGCCCCTTCCAGTGCTTAAAAGAGGTCCAAAAGAGCTGGAAAGGGACTTTGGATAAGGCATGGAGGGACAGGACAAGGGGGAATGGCTTCCACTGTTCTGTTCAGCAACCCATCAGGAAGTTTACATTCATTTTCGAGCAGACTTTTATTCTCTAGCTACCTGCTGTTTATGACTGACATGTCAGAATGATCAGAGATGATGAATTATTTCATTACAGTTACATTATTTATTAACTGCATTTATTACAGTTGTTTTCATCAGTGCAAACTACTACAAAATGACCAAGCCAAACATCCTTTATTTTCATGGGAAAGATTTTGTTGCCATTGAACTTAAACACTTAAGAACAGCCAGAAGGTGCTGTCACAATACAGGACTCACCAGGTTTCTTCCCTAAGCTTCCCGTTTTTCCAGCTGCTCCTGGAGCCTGGAAACAGAAAACAAGATGCAGGTTTAGCACTCAGGTTTATTTCTCTACTTACACATTAAATTTAACACACTAACCAAGCATGGAAGTAAAAAACCCACAGGAAGATTGTGTTTTTACAGAAATCCTAAATATTTCTGATGGCAATAAATACCTGGGAATAAACCCCAGCAGTGTATGGAAGTGGAGGACTCAGTGCAAAAGTGCAGAATTCTCTCTTGAACTTTTACTCCCTTTCATGGACTGCAAATATCAGTGTAAATGCAAATTACATCCCACTGGAATTGTGCATCTGGGAATCCACACAGTGGGAATTCTGTCCAGGTGACTTAAACCAACAATAATTGTTTTCAACTCTACAAACAGTTGGATTGCAAATATTCCTGAGAAACTCACTGCACCCAGACAGGGTAGGATGAGGGATGAACATCATCATCATCATCATCATCCAGGACACAAAAAACCCAGTAAACCCTGGAATTAGTCCAGTTCCTGCTCTGTAAATAATTCCTTCTGTTTTCTCCTGGTCCATTAACCCTCTTATCTCCTGCTATAAGAAGGTTTCAGATGGATAACAGCAACAGAAACCTGAACTGAACTTTGGTCAGAAATGTTGGGTCACCATAAATATCCTCTTGCCTTCAACACTTCCACCCTCCTCAGCTTCACCTTCTTCACCTTCAGGAGCCTCCTCACAAACTCCATCCAAGAGCCTGAAGGTTCTCTCAGAATCCCAATTCCTCTGGGGAAAAGAGCCACTTTCCCCCTCAGGATTCTCCCTATTAACCTGATCCTTTGAGAACTTGGGGATTCTGGCAGAAACTAATACAAGGAGTAACTAAAAAACAGTTCAATGGCTGAGAGAACAGGGCTATTGGGGGAAAAAAGTGTGTTGGGTTTGGATGGCTCTATAAAATAGATTATTAGAGATCCTGAACCCCTGTTGGAGTCTCAGTGCTGCTCTCCTGTCCCTGTCAGACACCGAGTGCAGTCACACTCCACAAGGGCAGCAAACCTGCCCTCCCTCCCTGCAGTCCTCTGATCCTCCTCAGTTCCCCACCCTTCTCTACAACCACAGGGACCTGTCTCAGCAAGAAGAGTGAACCAGGAAAGCATCACCCAGAGATCAAAGACTGGGTTTAGGTCTGGGGACAAGGACAAGGTGGGCTTGACACTCCCACGGGGGGAGGATTAAATGGTGAGCAACAACTCAGATTGAAAGGGGAGTGTTGGGCATTAATTCTGCTTTGGAAAGTGTTTCTTGCAGGGAAACACCCTGAGTGAAAACCAAGGATTTGGACTTTCAGAGAACACACTCCTCCAAAACACCCCTGAGTCAACATCTGTGCTGCTGGATTGGAAACACATCTCTGGGGCTGGGACACTGTCCTGCAGCAGCAGGGACACAGAGGGGTTATTGGTGGGGTGGGACACTGTCCTGCAGCAGCAGGGACACAGAGGGGTTATTGGTGGGGTGGGACACTGTCCTGCAGCAACTGGGACACAGAAAGGGGTTGTTGGGTGGGATGGGACACTGTCCTGCAGCAACTGGGACACAGAGGGGTTATTGGATGGCAGAAACATCAAAATCACCTGGGCCAGACTGAGTGTGAATTGTGTTTGAGGGCTCTCTGAATCCTTGGTGAAAAAGCAGAATAAACACACAGAGAAGTCCTACAGCACTTCAGTAAATAAATTAACCAACAGTGCACTTGAGATGGACTCAATTTCTGATCCATTCTGGTCCATTCAGGAGATGGAGAAATAGTTTCAATTCCCTCTGTTGAGAGGAAACACAGGGAGAGGACAGACCCTGTTCTGCTTCCCTTCTGCACAGCTGAGACCCTCACTGAGCATTTGAGGGTATTTTGAGAGGTGTGATAAAGTCCCTTGAACCAGAAGAGCAGAACTTGCTCTGTCAGTTCAGTGAGACCCAGCAGCCTTATTAAACTGGGTGGTCCAGCAGGACCCTGCACATTCCCACTGGGATTATCTCCTGAACCTTTAGGCAAAGTTTTGGAAGCAGAGCCATCCCAGTTGCTGGTTTCCAAGCTCCCCTGGGAGCTCCATCCCCTCACAGGAATTACCACCCAAGGATAAAACCCTGGTTCAGATCTGCTTCCATCCACCTCAGCCTAATGAAAACTTGGGCATGGACCACGAACTGGTGTCATTGTTCCTCTGGAGAACAAAGACTTTCCCACCCTGTTAATAAGTTGGAACTTGGAGGAGCAGGGAATAGTTTAATTTATCACCTGGGGGTGAATGGGCAGCCTGGGCAGAAGAACAAATTAAAAAATTCTTCTGGTGTAGAAACCACTGAGATTTTGAGGTTTACAGGCATTTCTATAAACTCTGCACTTGCTGCTGAAAGATCACCACTGTTTGTCTTTGGGTCTGAGTCAACAGTGCAGGACACATTAAATTAATTCACTCTTTTAGGACCATTTTCCCCCAGCAGGCAGCTGTCCAAGCACAGCAGAGATAAGAGTTAACACACAGCCAGGACTGTGAAAGCCTCTGTAAAAGCTGGCTCTGTGAACAAGCTGAAGAGCAAAACTCTGCCATGTAATCAAAATTACCCCCCTGGACACAGAACTGTGTCCTGCAGGCACAGGAACCCCTGTAGGGAATATGGACACCAAGGTCTCCACGAGCTCTGAGCTTCTTCCTCCCTCTCTCCTCAAGATTTGAGCTGCAGGTGGGATTTTCAGCAGCCAAAAGGGCAGTTGGGGCACTTTGGGATGAGGGGCACTGAGCTGGCTCAGCCCCAGGCAAGCCCAGGGCAGAGAAACATCCCACTGACCCCTCTGAGAAAACCAGTTCCCAGCTTTAAACACCTGAGTTCTCTGCCAAGAGCTGCCAACAACACCCCAACATCCTCTCTCCAAGGACTGCAATAAAAACCAGTTTCCAGCTTT